TCGAAAACCGGTGACTATCCAGCATTGTTTGCCTGGTACGTTGTTCACAAACGATGACGATTTCCATCACACGCAATAGCGCGATGAAGAGGATAGATCCCAACGTTGCGTGGGTATGCTGTTCGGGAACTGGTAACTTCAATTCTTTGATTTTGGGTGGAGAACCACATGAAGACGAATCGCACTGAGCGGGGCGACAGTCATAGCCACATGGTCATAGTGTTTCACTGACATCCATTATCCATTGCTTTCCAAATCAAGTACGTTTGGCAGCTAAATAAGCTCCACACTAACTATACAACTTGATGAAAAAAATTTTGAATGCTTAGGGAGCATTATTAACACCGAAACTCGACAAAGGATTCCTAATAGTATTGTGTGTGCCACAAGCATTTTGACACCAATCCACTTTCACTATCTATAACTCGTAGTGTAAGTTGCGTAACAAACTCTCGATCAATGCACTCCTCATTCGGAAAGACAGATGCTGGGCTCAGTGAATGGGAGAGTGAACTTAACAAATGTATAGAGCAAAAAAAACAAACTAACCTACCAAGGCAGTGTTTGATTTATACTGACCTCTACAGTTGGGATTCTTGAAAAAGGCTGACCGCATTGTATGATACGATCTAATCAACACAATAATGACTCGCCTTCACCAGACTACATTATTCATTGGTATAGTTGATAGCTTATACTAAAGTTATAGCAAAACAGAATTATATGGTTACAACTAACACTGTATCAGGAGTGGCATTCAAAACATATAGACTCAACCTAACAACTTGACAATACAAAATAAAAATTCATGGTAAACCCGCTTGTGAGTTGTGAAAGTTTTGAATTCAGTTAAAATAATAATGCTAAATTACGTAGGCATCAACAAGCAACACTGTAAAAGGATTGCGTGAATAGAATAACCGATAGTTAAACAACTGGGCATCCAAACTATGAACAATAACCAATATGAATCCACCTCGAAAATGGGGGGGAGGGTGTGGGATGGGGTAAAACGGGTTGCTTAGTTATTGTTGTTATCAAAGCAAAGAACGAAGCAACACTCGGGTAAGACCATCGAACACCTGGGAGTAAGCGATGTGTACACACCATGGAAAAATAGGGTAGAACACTTTCATTTTAGCGGATTTATGATGTCAAAAATGACATAAAACAAGTCACAGAACTGTGGCAGGTTTGAGTCTAATGGGAAGAAAGAAAGAGAACACACAATTAAGTCCTGATGTACCTTGAAATCAGCATCTCTCGCGGGCAAATCAATAGCAACTACGTTCCAATGATCGGTGCGGGAGTGCGCTGACTGAGTTCTGTCTACAGACTTCCAGAGCGGCTCATTACCACTAGAAAATGTAGCAGGTCGGATTGTAGCATATGAACGAATGAAAAGAGAAACGCACCAGAACAGACCAACTTCATGGGTTTCAGGGTCTTTTGACGGTCTACACGATCTAGAACGGGGAACACATGTATTTCAACAGAAAGGATGTGTTATAAGCAAACAACCCCAAAACCTGAAGATAGAGTCAGTGGTAGGAAGAAAGGTCAAGAAGAGGGAGAGGGGAAACCAAGTGCGTGTGATAAGACTACTTTTCCATATCCAAAACGGATCACTCTGCTCTGCAGTGTTTTCACAAACAGTCTGTTTCACTACCCCGGTGGAACATGGATGTCACTAGGTTGACAGTATTCAACCCAGATGATCGCATTTACGGTTTCCCTAATCCTTTCATCCAGAATATTAGTTCCTACAGAACATAAACATTCTGTCATCCGACTTGGAGATGTCATCACTGTAGGAAGACATCAACCATTCAATGGGTCGTGTGAAACGTCCATATTGAATCACCGCGTCACAGGGACCGCTTCCATACATACTTGGAAATCAGCCATTATCACGTGTTCCAAACCGGAAGCATCTAAGATTGTTGTTCGGGAGGATCTAAAATGCTCTATACAATGCGTTAAAGCGTCATTATTAGCCCTAAACGTGTTTCTGGAACGCTTGAAACAGAATCATCGCACCGTTTGCTATCGGCATACAGTAGTCCACCCGTCAGGTATATCATCAAAGTTTGGAATTCACTGGTAGGTCCTGACAAAACAGCACTGGAAAATCCTCAGAGAAGAGAAACCAAAATAGTCACTAGGTAACAATTCAAGACCTACATTGGAGGGCTGCGAATCGTCGAACTCAATTCACCTCATTATTGCCGCTTTCGCGGAAACATTGATCCTTATCTATCAAATACTACATTAATATAACTACGTACAGTAGTCTACTGACACTATCCAGGAATGAACACACCTGAGGACATCCGTTGAAAGTGCTGTAACAGGAGAGAGACTGCCAACGTCACTCTTTCAACCTCAGAGTAGGTAATACCAGTAACTCCATTCCACCACAAGTGATCGATGCTCCATCCGTCGATTTATTGAAGTCCTGGCTCGATGACGTGTATAAACGTGGTAATTTGTAATATTATTGTGCTACCATCCAAATTGAGTGTGTACCGATTCTATGAGATTCAAGAAGTTTCAGCTATGTAAATCACCCATTATAAAAAAATTGAAAATTGGCATACGCATATACATTACCCGAAGAACCTACGACGAGCTATTAATTTAAACATTTCTAACGGCGATTTCGATTGTTTTACAGGTGGGTGGAAATGAGCCGTGATTCAGCGCACTGTTCATGTCTCTCGCTGCCGTGTTCTTTTACTCTCGCTCCGTCATTGTTTGCGAACACTTCATCTGCTAGTTAACCGAACTATCATCCGAGACAAACACTCCGAATCTATGATCATCTTGTATGGGATCCAAACCCTGCGTGGTTTGCATAACTGATACCATTCATATTGCTTCGCTGAAGAAAAGTGTTCTGTTTGAAACGCTGTTTGATTTTCTTGTACTGAATATGGAATCACATTTGGTATGGGATACAATTCATCGTTGTTATTTGAGATTTTGGGTGTATTTGCATTGATCGTCTCGGGACATGTTGCACATAACGGATGATCAGTCGATTACACCTTATTTGCAGCGTATAGTTAAGCGCAGAAAAGCTGCAAACCAAAGACACGTTTATTAGAAACCAATCTGGTTTTAGGCGCGTTTTGAGAACTTCAGCCGTCATTTTTCGCATAACCAGTGCCACTTATTTCTACAGAAACAGCGAAATGACGCAATCTTTTTGCCGTCACTCGAATATGATAACTATGATTCAGGGATGTGAACAAAGGATCAATCTATATTCGCAATCTGTCCACTGAGACGTATACTCATGCAGCGAACAGAACAATGATGAAGTATTTGACAAACAGGTTGAACGCGTTTCTGTATCTCGGATTAATTGACGACTGATTTATTAAATAGTGACAGAAAAAACGAGAAATCATTCCAGTTCTACTGAAACAAGCTACTTCAAATAAGCAACTGACAAAATACTTGGCGGAAGCAATGCACTGTTCTTGAAACAACAACGAAGCAGTTTAGAACGATGTGACATCCAGTATTCAAAACTATTGGTATCTATGCCCCGGGCATGAGAAGTCGATTATAAAGTGTGAGCAAAGTGTGTTTTGATTGGAACAGCAGATGAATGTGATAAAGGAGGCTCATGATGAAATTACACTATGATTATGGATGCGTACGGGAAATACGTCTGCACAAGATACACACCTTATAGTCCGATGCAGCATCGGGCAAACTAATCAGTGCGGTTTGCCAATGCTTGCCGACCTCTGCAGTTCGAAACAGAGCTTTGTTGTCGCTAATGTTCATTTAGGGAGAAAGAGGTGAATTGGAAGTCACTGAGAAGGCGAATGGACCTACCACGTGACCGACACATCTCCGTCTTTGCTTCGCTGAACGGAAACACAAGAGCTAAACGAAGAAGATACAAGGGTTATGGTGTAAGCCAAAGCAAGGTTTACCGTTAGAATAAATGGTGACGCCAAGCTTATAAAAATGCAGGGAAGAATCAAAGTGAATGGAAAGTAAAGAGTACGGCTCGAACTGTGCTGTCCACTTCGAAGGCATAACAGCGTGCTGTTAAAAGAACTCCGTCGCTTCCTAGGTGAAAATAATAGTGCTTGACGGAGTGCCGTCTGTAAGCAATGCTAAAAGCCGTTAGTTGGTCAATAATTCCGTGTCTGGGAAAATTTGTAAATGAAACACCAGACGCTATATAACTGTCACGTAGTTGAACCGAAAAGAGGGTCGTGGACACGAACCATATGATTTAAGAAACGGCTCTATTTGGTTAAGATTAAAGCAATAAAGTGTCTGGTGTCACCAAGATCCAGGTAAACTGCAGGAGTTGGCGATGCATCAAGTTCGGGTGTATCTACGTTCGGCAGTTGCAAACTGTAGGATTGTTCCACCCAATAACCTCACTTTCACTGGGTACATAACAGAAAAAGTGGTAAATTTCACTGTATGTATCTCAGCCGAAAAATCATCTATAAAAACTCAACACGCAAACTTTGTTTTCACCCCACCGAAAACTACCATGAAATCCGCTTTCAGGAGACCGAATAAACGAGTGAACTTGATGCAAAAGCCTTATCAGAGGAGACTCCATAGTAGGCGTTCATGGGTGTAAAGCGTACCACACAGAAATAGCACTCCTGCACCGGTCGACTTGGGACTTAATCCAACTCTTTGGAGGCCATCATATATGCAACTCTCTGTTGTGGCTCTATGAAGCTGAGGCATGCATTGTCAGACACAGGAGGGTAAACTGTTGGGTGTACAGGCTAAACGGGGTGTGAAAACCACCCACAAACAGGATGCAGCGAGTGAAGTGGACGAAGACGATCTACTGTTTGATACAATACATACACCATGCTCAAACACATTGTACTGCAGTTCAAAGTTGCTTGGATTTAACAATTGTCTTCTGTGACGGCACTGTACATGGTGTCATACCCGAACATGTACCTCGAACTTGTGATCACAGCTTTGCGATCGCCGGAACCATGACTATCGCAATAGGATTGCCGATAGCTCGCTATTCTGTGTACCGGGGGCCAGGTGATCGGTTTTTAGACACAATAGGAGTTATAAAAAAGAAAACCCGGAAGGAGATCTCCAGAAGAATATTTTCCCCCTGAGACAGGACGAACCAAGTGCGAATGAAAGTGAAAGACAAAACCCGTCAACCACAAACCGGAGTGGGCTAAGAAATAACGTCTGTATCCCAACAAAGCCCTACCGTTATATATAATAGGGATTGAGGAGTGGTGATCGCTTGGTCTCGATACAGCACATTCCGTGAACAAAGAACTATTCGCGAACGTGCAGCGACAAGTAATATAAGGAAGATTGATTTGTGTGAGTTTTTAGCTTTTGAAAGATCCAGACAAATCGAAGGTTGTTAACTAAATGAGAATACAGACAACCACGTGGGCGGTGATGTTAGGATTCGAACAGATAATGTACCAGCCCAACACATTATACTGATATCGATCGTTGTAGATTACATATTCTGTACTCATTGAAAATACGCACCTTATAAT